GGGCCAAGACCCTGCCAATGTAGACATAGGCTTGCTGTCTTGTGGTCATTCTGGGGTATAACTGTCCCTTTCCGTTTGATGCAAAACAATCACATTCCAGGCACATCCCATTGTCCTGGCACAACCAAACCCTGATGTTGCTTTAAGTTAGGATAAGAGGAAGCTGCCTACCAAATTTGGTGGTCTTAGCTCTTGCCATTTAGGATGAGTTCTTGAACAAATGGACTCATAGATGGATGGATGGACACACAGACAGATGCACAAACTTTCTAAAATATATAGAAGATAGCACATACAATCCACAAAAGATTGATGTTTAGCAGCTCAAGACTTTTAAACTGATATCTCATGAAGCATACTTTGTATAAAACATATCACAATATGACATTGGTGGATATGGGGGTGCCCGGATGTAAGAGGAAGATGACCCACCCCTGGGTCCTGCCAATCTGACTCAATGGGAAAACCCCTTTCTGATCCAAAACATAGTGATCAGTGCCTGAGCATGCGGGCAGGACCCACGAGCCAAACCTCTTGGCTGTGTCTAGACTGGCCAATGTTTCCGGAAAATCAGCCACGTTTCCGGAAAAACTTGCCAGCTGTCTACACTGGCCACTTGAATTTCCGCAAAAGCACTGACTTCCTACTGTAAGAAATCAGTGCTTCTTGCGGAAATACTATTCTGCTCCCGTTCGGGCAAAAGTCCCTTTTGTGCAAAAGTTTTGCACAAAAGGGCCAGTGTAGACAGCTCAGCTTTGTTTTGCGCAAAAAAGCCCCGATCGCGAAAATGGCGATCGGGGCTTTTTTGCGGAAAAGTACGTCTAGATTGGCCATGGACGCTTTTCTGCAAAAAGTGCTTTTGCAGAAAAGCGTCCATGCCAATCTAGACGCTCTTTTCCGAAATGCTTTTAACGGAAAACTTTTCCGTTAAAAGCATTTGCAGAAAATCATCACCAGCAGCCTGGCCAGCAGGCTCTTTCCCCCACTGCCTCTGGATGGTCTGGTGCCTCAGTAAATCCAAAGACCCTCTGGCTCGCGCCACTGACCAAGAGGAACTGAGCCCTGCACGTGCCAAAGCCCTGCACAGTGAAGCTCTGGAGAGGTGGTGGCGGCATGGGGGGGAGTTGAGAAGCAATTTCCAAACTACTTGTGCTCCGATGCTGCAGACTCCAGAGTAGCCCCCAGGGCAGGGGCTTAGTGCTCTTTTCACACACTCCTGCCCTAGGTCCTGCCCCCAGGGAGCACAGGGCTGCTCCATTCTCTACGCACCCTCCGCGGCTGAGCCACCTTTCTTGAATGGGTTCACTGAAGCCTCTAAAGTCAGGTTCCCTGGTCCCTGGTGCACATTGCATCCTTAGGGCGTAATCCCTTCCCACCCACACTGTATCCAGGAGACAGGTGGCAGATGGGCTATGTCAGTGGCCAGCAGCTGCCTGTCTTTTGACACTGTGCAGGCAGGAAGGGACAAGCTGCTTCCAGTCACAAAAGAGGGGGAGAGGAAAGGGGAGGAGGAGGAAGAGAAGAGTTCTGCAAAGTCACAGGCCAGGTCACTTCCTCTCTCTCACACCACATGGGTCCCAACCCTTCCCTCCTGCACAGTACTGGAAGGCTGCTGCTGGCCACGTTCTGGTGAGAATCCCTAGCAGAAATCTAGGGGGGCTATGACCCTGCATTTTTCCTGCCCACAAGTTGCCTCAGGAAGACACATCCCCATGTTGCCAGGAGAGGGGGATTCATCTTGGGGTCCAGTGAGGCATGGACAGCAGAGTGCTCCTGGTAGAGAGGGCCTGGTCAGGATGGTCGGTCATCCTTCCTCGTGAGAGAGGTATGCAGTAGAGTGAGTATGTGTCACCTCTTCCAGGGCAAACCCTAAAGCCTTACAGCTAAGAAGGTCAATAATAAGACTCCAAGTAGGCAGAATTTCTTTTTAACAAGGGCTCAGTCAACTTGATGTTAATTTGAATGTTTGTATGGTATAGTTCTGATTGATTACCATTGAACTTGCTTGACTACAAGTAATTTTACTGGGTGTCCCATATTTAGCATGAAGAAATTTGGTCACTCTAAAGAGTGCTGGTCCCAGGCAAAAGAATTTCTAACCTGAGTATCAAAATTAGGTGGACTGCTGGGCTACATTTATACTGCACCCTTTTTGTGCAAAAGCCTATGCAAATGAAGTGTGAATTAGCATATTGTTGAGCTT